GACAAGTGGCTGCGTTGTGTTTGGTGGCTGGCCGGGGTTAAACCACGGCAGTTACTAAACACACTCTTAATTTTTCCTGGACCTCAGTAATTTTATAAATCTGAGAATTAAACATAAATAAATTTAGAATATATATAACAAAAATGTATTAACATTAATATAGCTTATCAAAATTCACATAATCTTTATCCCTTCAAGTTTAAAAGAGCATTAAGAACAAACCACACATTGACTTCAAGCTTCAAGAAATTAAGTTTTGTCAAGTACACATTTGAAAAGTTAAATTATTTATCTTCTTTCATTTTTGGAAAAAAACCCAGAAAACCACACAACAAACAAACAAAAAACCACCAACCAACTAAAAACCACTTACTTTCAGTGGCCCCTATAATCATTTCTCACCTGTTCCTGAGCTGCATTCAACATTGGCTCCTGAATATCCGTGTACATACATTGCAAGGCATTGTAGCCACCTGGTATACTTTCAAAGTCACTCAAGGCTTGGTCTTGGTTTCGCATCATTTCCTGCATCATTGCAGAGTTTCTAGCAAGTTCTAGTGTCTAATGAAGTAGAAAATGTAATTTGTATTAATAAAAAAAGCCATTCTAAAGTGAAAACATCAGCATTTAACAGTATCTCAGTTATTAATGTCTAACTCCATTTGAAATTAGGATTAAAGCCAAATCAAGACATCAGCTTAGTGGGAGGGGAGTCAATAGAATTTTGTATTTAGACAATATTCTGCCACAACTGTCAGTATGCTAGCTGAATCAGAAAACATTGACTAAACAGAAAAAACAAACCCTTGAATGTTCTTTCTTGTCTCTTCTCAACACAATATGCTTCTTCCATTTCTAATGTCAGCATGCATCTTATCCATCAACATGAACTTGAAAAATAAATGCCTTAATTTTTCAAAGCCTCCACGTGTTTCTTGATGCCTTCTGTCACATGAGGCATACCTTACATAACATAACTTTAGAAGCAATCAGAAGTACCCACGGTTACATAAAATGGAAATAAGCAGTATTTTGGAGAATTATTTCCTTATAGTAAACTCACTGTTGACTAGATAACAGAAGATTTCAAGTGGCATTCAACTCTAAACTTAGAATATATGATTATACAGGCTTCAGCATCTTTCAAAACTATGCTTTTTTTAAAAAATTATCAGCTTATTTCAGATACCACCAACTGGAAATAAAAATATCCATTTCCTATAGTGACCTTTTACAGATTGTCTAACAAGCCTAAATGCCTCAACAATATTTCAGCACTCATATAAGCATGTCCAATTCTCGCTCTTTTGTACCCAGTTACAGTATAATCAAAGGTCATGAACTTAGAGTTCTTTCTACATACCTGTCTCATTATTTCTGCATTATTCAGCATGTGACTGATTTCTGGATTTCTCTGTACCAGTTGCTGCATTTGAGGGTTAGCCATAATTAACTGTCTCATCAGGTCAGGATTTGAAAGCATGCTCTGAACAAATGGATTTTCCATTATCTGAGCCATCATTTCTGGGTTGGACATAAGCTGTTGTTGCATCTGACTTTGCAACTCTAAAACGTTTGATGCATTTAAGCCCAGGCTGTTCAGGCCTGTCAAACCTCCAAAGCCACCTTTAAGATGAAAGGAAAAAAATTTAACTTTCAGCTTCTAATATATTTCTAAACACATCCAGTTTTTTTTAAAGTACAAAATACATAAATATAACCCATGCTTCAAAATAATGAAACTCAATGGAAATTCTATTTTTGCAAGGCTGTTAAGGAGTCATCCACTAAGTTCGCCTCTTTACATAACAAGACATCTACAAATCCAAACTGCATCCAAAATATAACTTGTTACAATTCTAACAGCTTTTCTTCTACTTTACTGTACCTGAGGTACAAGGAATGTTTGAGTTTTGAGGCCTTGGGTTAATTCCCAACACTTTCCAATACATTTGTAATAATCATTTATAGACAGAACACTGCCATGAGGAATCTCTTAACATGATGCATACTGCATCGCTGATGCAACAAGAACTAATAATGCTTTAAATTCTCATATGCAGAGTTCAGCAAACAAAAATTTCACATTTTTAGAAGGTACTAGTCCATCTGGAGAACTGTTTACAACTAAAAAAAAAAAAAAAAAGGCAATTGCTTAACACAGTTTTAAGCTGTTTCATTTTTTTAAAAAAGAAAGCAAAGAAAGAGCATGAATAACAAAACCCAGCAACTATGAAAAGAGATAGTATTTTTAAATCAATAGACTTCCATCTCTACTCCTAAAAGAGAAGATTGATAATGCAGTCAGATGCAAAACCAGAGAAATACTGGTTTGTAGGATAAGAGTAATATTGTTACTTCTGTTCCAAGTCATGATGTTATGGGTCCAACTTCAATACTCTCTTCAGGCCAATTCAAATGCACTGTCAAGGAGGAGGAGGAAGAGACTGGAAGGAGTTTAATTACCTATTGTGCCAGAATATGAGATCAGTAGCACCTTATTACTGCAGATGAAACAGCACAAGCCTGAAGTTCTGTACATAAAAATTAAGGAAACAACTTAGCTCTGATAACTTACTGATCAAAAACTTACTGCAAACAACACCACATATTTTTGCAATCAGTAATTTTATCATTTTTTTAAAGTCCCATTTACATTAGAATAAAGCTCCAGGGATACTTAAATTAAATCAAGATACCTAAGATAGCCACCATATTATCTAACAAATATTCTTACCCAAGGCAAAAGAATTTATAGTCGAAGTTGGTGTTGAGGTATTACTGCTCGATATTGATGTGGTAGCAATACTGCCAGTGGTGCGTGTTTGTTGACCTGTATGGTCTTGTGATCTATAAAAAGCAAGGTTTAAAAAATTACAAATTGAACAAGGTGCAGCTTGTTGACCCCAGCCAATTAAATCCCCACCCAGTAACAACATCATTTTCCCCTCGCCCCAGGCAGGATGGGGAAGAGAATCAGAAGGGCAAAAGCAAGAAAACCTCATGGGTTGAGATAAAAACAGTTTAAAAAGCAAAGAAAAAAAACCCCAACCAATAAAACCAGAAAAGCGATGTGAAGACAATAACTCACCACGTCCCACCAGCAGACCACTGTCCAGCTAGTCTTTGAGCAACAGCTACTTCGGAAAAGTTTCCCCTCAGTTTTATTGCTTAGCATGACATTATATGGTATGCAATATCTTTGGTCAGCTTGGTTCAACTGTCCCAGCTGTGTCCCCTTCCCAACACTAGCCTCACTGGCCTTGATGCTGTGTGAGCACTGTTCAGCAATAGTTAAAACATTAGTGTGTTATCAACACTGTTAGGTCAAGAATCCAAAACACCTCACCATACAAGCTGCTATGAATAAAGTAAAACTCCATCTGAACCAGATCCAGTACACAAGGACTGGCATTTAATAAAATAATGATATTTAATACAGGAACAATATCATACTTGAGAATCCGAATTTACATTTTCTATTATTTCTAAAAAAAGCCCAGAAACTCTAGATGTCTTCCTAGCCAAACTCAAACAGGAAGCATACAGAGGTAGAAGCAAGGATGGGCAACCTGGGAGGAATACAAAGATACTATCCAAGTCTCTCTTTCTTATACAGTCATGAAAGACAAAGCCCAAATGGAATTGAATTTGTCAAGGGATGTCAAACACAACAAGAAGACTAGGGAAAATGTGCAACCCCTGCTTAATGAGATGGGAGACCTGGTTACATGGTACATCAGGACACAAAAAAGGCTAAGGTACTGAATGCTGCCTTTACTAGCAAGACCTGCTGTCTTGGGTTACAGTGTGGGGGTAGCCAATGGTATGTATTCTATTGTAGTCTCCACAAGGGTTAAAGCAAGTGGGGCAGTGATCGTTATCTCCTCCTGGTCCCTGATGGCTCCCTCAAGGGGCTGTCTCTGTTTAATGGGCTGTCTGGGACTCAGGCATGCATAGAGTTACATGTCCCATTATGAGATGCCTCACCTCTGGTGGAGGAGGGAAGCTTAGCATCCCCACATGGGGGTGGGGAGCCAAGCATTCCCACAGAGATATAAGCTGGGGTTTGAACCAGCACAGGAACCCTTTTTTACCTGCTGGATCTCCAGAGGACAAGGGGCTGCTGCTGGGACCTTCGGGAGAGGATCGGATCTGCGGGATCAACTGCTCCAACAAACCCATCACTCCAGGGGGACTGCAGCTACCATTCAATCGGACTACTACTACACCCTGACTGACAGGGTGTCAGGTTACTTTCTGACTCTGTCAGGTTAAGTTGTTAATTTGTACTGTTATATTTGTTGTTGTTTTCTTTGTGTTTCATATTAAATTGTACTTCTAACTCGGAGTCTCTCACCGGTTTGCTTTCAAACCAGCACACTGGCTTTCAGGAAGACCAGGCCCCTAAGACCAGAGAAAAAGGCTGGAGCAAGGAAGATGTACCCTTGGTAGAAGAGGATTGGATCAGAGAATACTTCAGCAAACTGGACATACATAAGTCCATGAGCCCCTATGGAATTCACCAATGAGGGCTGAGAGAGCTGGCAGATGTCATTGCGAGGCCACTCTTGATAATCTTTGATCAATCACAGTGACTGGGAAAAGTGTCCGAAGGCTGGATAAAAGCAAATATCATTCCTATCTTGAAGAAGGGCAAGGAGGAAGGCCCAGAAAATTATTGGCCAGTCAGCCTCATCTTGATGCCCAGGAAGGTGATGGAGCAGCTAATCCTGGATACCATTTCCAGACACATGAAGGACAAGAAAGCCATGAGGAATAGTCAGTATGGACTCACCAAAGGGAAGTCATGCTTGACCAACTTGATAACCTTCTGTGATGAAATGACTGGCCCAGTAGATGAGGGAAAAGCAGTGGATAATTTCTACCTGGACTTCATGAAGACTTTCAACAGTGTCTCCCATATCATCCTCATAGAGAAGCTGAAGAAATAGGGGTGGGATGAGAAGAATGGTAAACTGAGTGACCAGATTCAGAGGGTGGTGATCAGTGGAACAAAGTCTAGTTGGAAGCCAGTGACTAGCAGTGTACCCCAGGCATCATTACTGGGTCCGGTCTTGTTTAACATCTTCATTAATGATCTGGATGACAGGGCAGAGTGTACCCTTAAACAAGCTTGTGGATGACTCAGAACTGAAAGGAGTAGCTGATATACCAGTCATGCTGCCATCCAGAGGGAACCTGACAGAGTGCAGAAATGGGCTGACAGGAACTTCATGAAGTTCAACAAGGGGAAGTGGTGCAAAGTCCTGCACCTGGGAAGGAACAACCCCCAGGTATCAATATAGGATGAGGGCCACCCAGATGGAAAGCAGCTTGGCAGAAAAGGCACTGGGTCTTGGTGGATATCAGGTTGAACATGAGCCAGCAATGTGTCTTTGCTAAAAATAAGGTGAATGGTAGATGGTCCTTCCCCTCTATTCAGCACTGGTGAGGCCAGACCTGGAGCCCTGTGACTAGTTCTTGGCTACTCAGTACAAGCAAGGCATGGACATACTGAAGGGAGTCCAACGAAGGGCCACAAAGATGATAAAAGCACTGGAACATCTCTCCTATGAGGAAAGGCTGAGAGCTGGAACTGTTTAGACTGGAGAGAAGGCTCAGGGGACATCTCATCAATGTATATGAATGCCTGAAGGGAGGGTGTAAAGAAGATGGAGCCAGGCTCTTGTCAGTGGTGTCCAGTGACAGGATCAGAGGCAACTGGCACAAATTGAAACACAGGAGGTTCTTATCTGTTCATAAGGAAAGACTTCTTTTTCTACTGTCAGGGTGACCGAGCACTGGAACAGGTTGCCCAGGGAGCTTGTGGAGTCAACCTCCTTGGAGATGTTCAAAAGCCATCTGGACATGTTTCAGGGCAACTGGCTCTAGGTAGCCCTGCTTGAGCAGGGGTGTTGGACCAGATGACCTCCAGAGTCCCTTTCAAACTCTATCATACTGTGATTCTTAGATATCTATAATCTCATCACTTCTTTGGAACGGTAATTTCGAACACTAAGAAAATGGATGGGCATCACTGCAACTGTTACCACCTTTTTATAGTATCCATAAAGGAGAGAAGGCTACCAAGATCTATAATACAGGATCTATTCCATACCACACCATTAGTAGGTCACCCCACTGAACATCAAATTAAGCTAATTTTATTTCATCACAAGACTAAGATCAGAAATTCAACATTCTTTAAGACTGCAAGAGTTTGGTAATAATGTAGTTACACAAAGTTAACACCATCATAAACTAGCACAAGCACTAAAGGCTGCTTGCCCAATTCATATGCTCACCACATCTGTCTACTGCAGGGGCATAAGCATGGGTGCCACCATGTGAAACAGATCAAGGACTGTTCAGATTGTATTCAGACTGTTCTTCTGCACCAACTGCAACTAAGAAGCCAATTCAAGTGATTTAATAGTAATGGCTCAGTTTAGAAGATAACATTAACTTTCAAAAAGTGTATGTATGATATTGTTGGAGAATGGCTAAGAGAGCTCTACTGCAGGGGCATAAGCATGGGTGCCACCATGTGAAACAGATCAAGGACTGTTCAGATTGTATTCAGACTGTTCTTCTGCACCAACTGCAACTAAGAAGCCAATTCAAGTGATTTAATAGTAATGGCTCAGTTTAGAAGATAACATTAACTTTCAAAAAGTGTATGTATGATATTGTTGGAGAATGGCTAAGAGAGCAAGGACATAATCCTGGGAATGGAATGGGGGAAGGCTAAAAAGAGCAAGGACACAGTCCCCTGGGAACGCATGGACACAGTCCTAGGAACGCACCTGGGAATGCAGTGTACAAGCAAGGCCCTGGAGATTGTAACTTATATATGGATAGGGAGTAACTCAGCTGGGCAGATGGCAGGGGTAAGTCGTCCTTGAGGGTGAGACAAACAAGTTTGAGACAAACAGCTAGGAATGCAGCCGAGCCTGAGAAAGTAAGAGATAATCCATACAGCTGTGGCTGCAAGCAGGGAGAGTACCTGAATGCTATCTTTAGAGCTTAGCCAATTATAAATGATTGATAGTTATATGCCTGTCCTGCACTGTATAAGAAAGAGCCTGTTGGACAATAAAGTTGAAGCTTGCTTTATCACCCACACGGAGTCGGCCGCTTGCTTCCCCGCGCAGAACTTTCACCTTTCCCAACATGATATCTAGGGATACAACCTTACACATTTTGGGGTTGCTTCTCTTGTTCAATAGCAGGAGTATTTGTACTGGTTTTGAATGCATTTTAGTCAAACCTAGGTTTGCCCAACAGAAAGCTATCACACTATGGATTAAGAATATTTTTACTACTTTGAGGTAAAAATAAGATTGCTCATCAGTCAGGTTACCTGTTTTGCATTTTGATGACCAGGTGAACAGTGAGTCCATCATGAATCCCATGCTGAATCAAAGTATCTTGATCTTTTAAAATTTTTCCAGCAAATATCAAAACAAGTTGATCAGTGTGGGACTTGAAATGTTTAGAGATTTCTTCCTTGAACTAAACAGAATTTAATATTACATAGTTATGTAACTGAATACTGAACTATTTTTAAAAAATAATTTAAGGAAGAACTATTTTGCTCACATTTATTATATTAATTCACTTGCACAATATGTTTTGCTTTATACAAACTAGAAACATGCTATTGAAACAATCCATTGCTGACATGCTGAGGATGCAACAAAACATTATGTTAATTCAGTCCACATTTGTGCAGCCACTGAAAGGAGCAGTATCCTTTCTTCTTATACATATTACTGCTACCTTTCACATGTCAAAACTAGCAGTCCTTTCCACACAGTGAAAAATTATTTCTTAGGTGGCTCTGCTCTCTCATCCAACTCATGATAGCTACATGAAATGTGCTTCTGGCCCAGGGCATGCAGAACAGACATATAGTTCAGCTGATTGTGAAATCATACCTTTATTAAAACAACTGAACCTGGAAAAGCAATTGTGTTTCTTCCTGCCTTCTTAACCAATAATGACTATGTTATGTTTTGACTGAGTTCTGACTGAGATTCATTATTCTACATAAAAGTACTCTCTCAGAAAAAAACAATTAGTTCACAAAATGTAAAAAGACAAATATAAGAAAATCAAATCAATTTGTTCAACATGACTAGTCAGTAGACTAACTGTTTCTGAACGGATCTTAGGCAGTTAGAAAGCCCTCCAGAAGTTCACAACATTTTTAAGTAGTATAGTCAACTTGATTTTTAAAAGAATCCTATTCCAAACATCCTAGTGAACTCTCATACAGGAAACCCAAACATTAATCTTGCAGT